CTCCTACACTGCTGGTAGGAATGTAAATTAGTTCAACCATTATGGAAAGCAGTATGGAGGTTCCTCAAAAAGCTCAAAATAGAAATACAATTTGACCCAGGAATTCTCTCCTAGGTTACCCTAAGAATGCAGCAGCCCAGTTTGAAAAAGACAGATGCACCCTATGTTTATTGCAGCACTATTTACAATAGCCAAGAATTGGAAGCAACCTAAGTGGAAGCAACCTAAGTGTCCATCAGCAGATGAATGGATAAAGAAGATGTGGTACATATACAGAATGGAATATTATTAAGCCATAAGAAGAAAACAAATCCTACCATTTGTAATAACATGGATTGAGCTAGAGGGTATTATGCTCAGTGAAATAAGCCAGGTGGAGAAAGACAAGTACCAAATGATTTCACTCATCTGTGGAGCATAATAAAAAAGCAAGAACTGAAGGAACAAAACAGCAGCAGAATGACAGAACCCAAGAATGGACTGACAGCTATGAAAGAGAAAGGGACTGCGGGAGGATGGATGGATAAGGGGTTGGAGGGAAGAAAGAGGGCATTATGATTAGCATGTATCATGAGGTGGGGGCACAGGGAGGGCTGTAGAACACAGAGAAGACAAGCAGTTACTCTATAGCATCTGACTACGCTGATGGACAGAGACTGTAATGGGGCATGTGGAGGATACTTGGTGATGGGAGGAGTCTAGTAAACATAATGCTCCTCATGTAGTTGGAGATTAATGATACCCCCCAAAAAAAAAAATTCTAAGTAGACTACCAGATAATGTACAATTTCCTAAAATTACTATACCACTGTCAAAATCATAAATAAAAAGCAAGCATTAAAAACTCATCAAGAATTTGTAAAGTTTTAAAAACTATTAAAAATTACAGTGGAACTACTAACATGGTGTCTTTAAAAAATAATAAGTTCTTACCTTAAAATTTTTTGTGATGCTTTTGAAACTGGCGTTCCAACAAATGCCTCAGGCAACTCTGAATCTGGCAGAGAATATACTATAGGAGATGGTTCTATTTTAGAACTACAAAGAAAGTAAAATTTAAGTTTTGATTATGTCTCTTAAGGAGCATTAAATTTAATGCTATAGAACACGGTGGAATTTGATGGGAGAAGAGGGATTTCAATTTTTTACTTTGTACATTACTCCCTACTTATAAAAAACAATGAATATAATTGTTTCCAAACTTAAAGAAAAAAAATTCTTGTAAGAAAAGTAACCAACATAAAAATGTTTTTGCTTTTTACACATATTTATGAACTCTAAAGTACTGTTTATAAATGCTGTATCCAGGGAAGATGAAGAAGCAGCATGATACAAAAAAAGTGTAAGAATACATACCTATTATAGCCTGGGATGTTATTTTTAGGTTCATTGCTTGCCCAAACCTCTCCAATTTTAGATAACACATTACCGATGAACGTAGATCTTGTTAACACAGTTCCTTTTACAGCTTGCTTTGGAACTGCTGATAATGGTTTGGGTCGAGGAACTGTAAAATGAAAAATGTAGGACTTAATTTCATCTCTAACATCTGGATTTTAATAGAAGATTAATATAAAAGAGTGATTGGAAAATAAGGATCACAAGGTAAGAGTAGTTAAAATTATATTTCACTTAGCAACATCTATGCAGAAATTTAACAATTGGGCGTTTAGGGGATAGTGAAAGAATTATCTCACATGTTGTCCAAAAGGTGAGAAAAGCCTTCAGAAAATGAAATAAAGTGAGTTCTTTCATTCTGTACTACATTATTAAATAAACCATAAAAACTTCCAAGAAAGCCTCATATTTCATGGTATAGAGAGGCCAGGACAAAAAGCACCATTGTGATGAATCAAAGCAAAAGTGAGCTAAATATAAAGTTGTAATAATAGTTTCAGAAGGTAATCATTCAGTATCTTTACTCACCCAATACTTTATGACATTTTTCAATATAACCTTACCTTCTCGAAGAACTGATGATGTTGACAGATGGTAAGGCTTAGCTCGCCCAATGGCTAATTTTCGCTGGACTCTAGGAAGGATTTTCCTGTATTGGTCTAACATAGAATTTCGAGCCACTGATCTCTCCCGCAAACGAGGGTCACGATCATTCTATTGAACATTAAATAACAATAAATTAACTAAGTTTAATCTTTAGAAAGTGTTAAGTGCTATGTTCATTTGCCATTTAAAATATAATTACCAATACCTAAGAATATCTTCTTCCTCCCTATATATCCATTGCTCCAAGTCAAGTAACTTCATATACACACCTACTTTACAAATCCTTACCCATCAATAAATTCCAAGTCTCTCCTACCCAGCTTTGATTCTTCACAACTAATAAAAACAATTTTTATTACTACTAAGTACCTACATGTGTCAGGCAACATACTACTTTGCACAAACCTCTGTGCATTCTCAGAGATACTGTCATTTTAAAGATGAGGAAACCAAGCCTCAGAGTCTTCCAAACACAGAGCAAATTAAGGAAGAATCAGTCTGACACCTGAAGCCCATGCTCTTTGTACTATGTAACTCCACTGCTGTCCTTGACCTCTTCCTCTTGCTTTCCCTGAGTGAAATAGTTAGTCTGGCAAGACTGGGCAAATATCTAAACAGAAATGGCATGTATAAAAGACTTAGATTAATAATGCTCTGTTCCCAATACTGCTACAGAAGGTAAGAAGAGGGTTCCAAGTTCAAGATGATATAAAAAGCCTAATGGTCACCACGCTACAAGCTCTTATATACAAAGTCACCAGTTTTCCTTATTCTCTTGTATCTCATAATAAAAGAAGTTTAATTATACCATAAGATTAGTCTTCAAAGTTTGGTTCAGCTTCAAGGCAGGGATGTAATTGGCACGCTGTAAATGGTGAACTACAAGGAATTCCTGATTCTGAACACTGGTGCTGGACTGCAAAAATCTCACCAAACACTCCTAGGAAGAACAAAATAGATTTGTAAGCTACTAACTAATCCTAAATTTCTGGCAAGTTTGTTTATACGGATAAGTCATTACCTGCTCAGTGTCTGTAAATGGTAACTTCAGTAGATCCTCCATTAAGCCAATTTCCTGACAAACTTCGTATGTGTGCTTTAGTAACTCCTCTACATTCAACCTATTAGAATGTTGCCGCAGTAAACTCCAGGCCTCAACCATGCACCTGAAAACAATATTTTTCCAAGTACAGTTTTAGAAAAAAAAACTATTAAAAATATTCAAAACAAAGAGAGAGAGGAAAAGGTGGCAGTGAGGAGTGTGGCAGAAATCTCCTCCCAAAACCACATATATTTTGAAAATACAGCAAATACAACTATTCCTAAAAAAGTGACAAGAAGTAACAGTACACCAGCCAGTGTACACATCTGCAAGAACCCAACATCTCATGGAAAAGAGTAAAGTTCAAAGCTGCGACCTGGAGGGATCCGAGTACTCCAGCCACCCCAACTCACCAGTGGGAGGAAAAGAATCAGAGTAGGGAGGGAGTGGAAGCACAGGACTGCTAAATACCTAGCCCTAGACATCTACCCTCGGAACACAGACCCACGCTGCATGGTACTCTGGAGACTAGAGGGGCTGAAAAGCAAAGTCTGAGGCCAAGACTGAGAACAGGTTCCCAAAACTGGCTGCCCTGGGACAAAAGAAAAGCAGGCACTTTAAAAGTCTTAAAGGGGCAAGGGTTCAACAGGTGGACAAAGTCATCCTGGCACACTTGGCCCAGCAGGCTGGGAACTTTCAGGAGCTTCAGGTGCCCTACCCCCTGGTTGGCAACGCAGCCCCAAGGCCCCTCACTATAAAACAGCCTGCTGTTCCTTCCTCCGTGCCAGCACCTGTGCGCAAACTGGCTGTCCCTGCCATTGCTGCAGACCAGCCAGAGGGCAGCCCCGCTTACAGCATCTACGCACTTTAACACAGAAGCTTCTCCCTGTGCATGGCTAACCAGCCCAGACCCAGAGGCTGATCCCTGCACATGGTTGACCAGCACAGACAGTGGAGACAGGCACTGAGACCAGAAGCCATGAAGGGGCTTTGTTCTCATGGCAGAACCTGCGCTGCTCACCTACAATCGCTGCCAACACCCTAGGCCATCCCAAGCATTGCCCCACCCACGGCAGTTTAGGGGATTAACTAAGAGGCTGCTCCCTGTGTGCAGTTAACTGGCACAGACAGCAGAGACAGGCACAGTGAACAACAAGCAGGAAGGGACTTTGTCCTCCCAGCTGACACCCGCGCCACTCGCCAGCAACCACTCCCATCGTTCCAGGACTATGAAAAGGCAGAAGCACCTTGTTCAATCCAAAATCCCTCAAACACCAGAAAGAGGGCTCGGTGAGACTGAAATCAACAATTTTCCTGAAAAAGAATTGAAAATAAAATCGTAAGCATGCTGATGGGGCTACAGAATATTCAAGAACTAAGGGACAAATTCAGGAGGGAGATAAGAGAAATGAAACAAACAATGGAGGGATTTAAAAGCAGATTAGATGAGGTGGAGGAGACTGTTAAGGGAACATAAATCAGAGAACAAGAATACAGAGAAGCTGACACAGATAAAGAAAAAAAGGATCTCTAGGAATGAAAGAATATTAAGAGAACTGTGTGACCAAACCAAATGCAACAATATTTACATTATAGCGGTACCAGAAGAAGAGAGAAAAAAAGGGATAAAGTGTCTTTGAAGAAATAATTGCTGAAAACTTCCCAAATCCTGGGAGGGAAATAGTTTTTCAGGCTAAGGAAGTCTACAGATCTCCAAACACAAGGACCCAAGAAGGACAACAACAAGACATATAATTAAAATGGTAAAGATCAAAGACAAGGACAGAGTATTAAAAGCAGCCAGAGAGAGAAAAAAGATCACCTACAAAGGAAAACCCATCAGGCTATCATCAGACTTCTCAACAGAAACCTTACAGGCCAGAAGGGAGTGGCATAATATATTCAATGCAATGATACAGAAGGGCCTCGAACCAAGAATACCCCACCCAGCAAGATTATCATTTAGATTTCAAGGAGGGATTAAACAATTCCCAGATAAGCAGAAGTTGAGGGAATTTACCTCCCACAAATCATCTCTACAGTATATTTTAAAGGGACTGCTCTAGATGGAAGTATGCTAAGCTAAATAGCTGTCACCAGAAAAAATAAAACCACAGCAAAGGAAGCAGACCAACTAAGTACTAACCAAATGCAAAATTAAATCAGCTACCCACTAAGACAGTCAAGGTATACACAAAGAGTACAGAATATGAAAGCTAACATATAAAGAGTGGAGGAGGAAGAAAAAGAAGGGAGAGAAAAAAGAACCATTATACTGTGTTTATAATAGCACAGTAAGTGAGTTAAGGTAGACTGCCAGATAGTAAAGAGGCTGCTCTTGAACCTTTGGTAAACACAAATCTAAAGCCTGCAGTGGCAATAAGTACCTATCTATCAATAATAACCCTAAATGTAAATGGACCGAATGTACTATCAAAAGACACAGAGCTACAGAATGGATAAAAAAGCAAGACCCATCTTCATGCTGCCTACAAGAGACTCACTTCAAACCCAAAGACATACACAGACTGAAAGTGAAGGAATGAAAAAAGATATTTCATGCAAACAATAGTAGGAAAAAAGCAGGTGTCGCAGTACTTGTATAAGATAAAATAGACTTCAAAACAAAGAAAGTAACAAGAGATAAAGAAGGACATTACATAAGATAAAGGGGTCAGTCCAAAAAGAGGATATAACCATTATAAATATCTATGCACCCAATATAGGAGCACCCAAATATGTACAACAAATAGTAACAGAAATGAAGGCGGAAATAGAATGCAATACATTCATTTTAGGAGACTTCAACACATCATTTACTCCAAAGGACAGATTCACCAGACAGAAAATAAGGACACAGAGGCACTGAACAACACACTAGAACAGATGGACCTAACAGACATCTATAGAACACTCCACCCAAAAGCAACAGGATACACACATTCTTCTCAAGTGCACATGGAACATTTACCAGAACAGACCACATACTAGGCCATAAAGAGTCTCAGCAAAGACAAAAAGATTGAAATTGTACCAACCAACTTCTCAGATCACGAAGGTATAAAACTAGAAATAAATTGTACAAAGAAAAAAAAAAAGGCTCACAAATACATGGAGGCTTAACAACATGCTCCTAAATAATCAATGGATCAATGACCGAATTAAAATAGAGATCAAATAATATATGGAGACAATGAAAACAACAGGGCAATGCCCCAACTTATGTGGTACATAGTGAAGGCAGTTCTAAGAGGAAGGTATATAGCAATCCAGGCATATTTAAAGAAGGAAGAACAATCCCAAATGAGTAGTTTAAATTCACAATTATTGAAACTGGAAAAAGAAGAACAAATGAGGCACAAAATCAGTAGAAGGTGGGACATAATAAAGATCAGAGAAGAAATAAGTAAAATTGAGAAGAATAAAATAGAAAAAAATTAATGAAACCAAGAGCTGGTTCTTTGAGAAAATAAACAAAATAGAGAAACCCCTAGACAGACTTATTAAGAAAAAAAGAATCTACATGGATAAACAGAATCAGAAATTAGAAAGGAAAAATCACTATGGACACCACAGAAATACAAAGAATTATTAGAGAATACTATGAAAAATTATATGCTAACAAACTGGATAACCGAGAGGAAATGGACAACTTTCTAGGAAAATACAACCTTCCAAGACTGACCCAGGAAGAAACAGAAAATTTGAACAGACCAATTACCAGCAATGAAATTGAATTGGTAATCAAAAAACTACCCGAGAACAAAACTCCCATACCAGATGGCTTCACCATTGAATTTTATCAGACCTTTAGAGAAGACATAATACCCATTCTCCTTAAAGTTTTCCAAAAAACAGAAGAGGAGGGAATATTTCCAAATTCATTCTATGAAGCCAGCATCACTCTAATACCAAAACCAAGCAAAAACACCACAAAAAAAGAAAACTATAGACCAATATCCCTGATGAACAGAGGCAAAAATAGTCAACAAAATATTAGCAAACCAAATTCAAAAATACATTAAGAGGATCATACATCATGATCAAGTGTGATTTATCCCAGGGATGCAAGGATGTTATAACAGTTGAAAATCCATCAACATCCTCCACTATATCAATAAAATGGACAAAAATCACATGATCATCACCATAAATGCTGAAAAAGCATTTGATAAAATTCAACAACCATTCATGATAAAAACACTCAATAAAATGGGTACAGAAGGCAACTACCTCAACATAATAAAGGCGATATATGACAAACCACAGCCAACATTATACTTAACAGTGAAAAGCTGAAAGCTTTTCCTCTAAGATTGGGAACAAGACAAGGATGCCCACTCTCCCCACTTTTATTCAACACAGTACTGGAGGTCCTAGCCATGGTAATCAGACAACACAAAGAAATAAAAGGCATCCAGATTGGCAAGGAAGAAGTCAAACTCTCACTGTTTCAGATGACATGATATTGTACATAAAAAACCCTAAAGAATCCACTCCAAAACTATTAGAACTAATGTCTGAATTCAGCAAAGTTACAGAATACAAAATTAATACACAGAAATCTGTTGCATTTCTATACACTAATGATGAAGTAACAAACAGAGAAATCAGGAAAACATTTTCATAAACAATTACAACAAAAAGAATGAAATACCTAGGAATAAACCTAGAATAAAATACCTAGGAATAAACCTAACTAACAAAGTGAAAGACCTATACTGTGAGAATAAATGTAAATTCATCCCATGGTCTTGGGTAAGAAGAATTAATATTGTCAAAATGGCCATCCTGCCTAAAGCAATCTACTTGAGATTTAATGCAATCCCTAACAGAATACCAACAACATTCTTCAATGAACTGGAACAAGTAGTTTTAAAATTCATATGGAACCACAAAAGACCCCGAATAGCCAAAGCAATCCTGAGAAGGAAAAATAAAGCAGGGGGGGTATTTCAACTTCAAGCTGTACTACAAAGCCACAGTAATCAAGACAATTTGGTACTTGCATAAGAACAGATCTACAGACCAATGGAACAGGAGAGAGTCCAGATATTAACCCAAGTGTGTATGGTCAATTATGACAGCTTCTTCAACAGCTGGTGTTGGCAAAACTGGACAGCTATATGTAAGAGAATGAAACCGGATTACTGTCTGACTCCATACACAAAAGTAAACTCAAAATGGATCAAAGACTTGAATGCAAGTCATGAAAACATAAAACTCTTAGAAGAAAACATATGCAAAAATCTCTTGAATATAAACATGAGCAACTTTTTCATGAGCATATTTCCATGGGCAAGGGTAAGAAAAGTAAATATGAACAAGTGGGACTATATAAAACTAAAAAAGCTTCTGTACAGCAGAGGACACCATCAGTAGAACAAAAAGGGATCCTACAGTATGGAAGAATATATTCATAAATGACAAACCCAATAAGGGGCTAACATCCAAAATATATAAAGAGCTCATGTGCCTCAACAACCAAAAAGCAAACAACCCTATTAAAAAATGGGCAGAGAATATGAACAGACAATTCTCCAAAGAATTCAGATGGCCAACAGGCACATGAAAAGATGCTCCACATCACTAATCATCAGAGAAATGCAAATTAAAACCACAATGAGATATCACCTCACACCAGTTAGGATGGCCAACATCCAAAAGACAAACAACAAATGCTGGTGAGGATATGGTGAAAGGGGAACCCTCCTACACTGCAGGTAGAAATGTAAATTAGTTCAACTGTTGTGGAAAGCAGTATGGAGGCTCCTCACAAAACTCAAAATAAAAATACCATTTGACCCAGGAATTCCACTCCTAGGAATTTACCCTAAGAATGCAGGTGCCCAGATTCAAAAAGACATATGCACCCCTATGTTTATTGCAGCACTTTTTACAATAGCCAAGATATGGAAGCAAGCTAAGTGTCCATCAGGATGAATGGATAAAGATGATGTACATATAAACAATGGAATATTATTCAGCTATAAGAAGAAAACAAATCCTACCATTTGCAGCAATATGGATAGAGCTAGAGGGTATTATGCTCAGTGAAATAAGCCAGGCAGAGAAAGACAAATATCAAATGATTTCACTCATCTGTGGAGTGTAACAACAAGGCAAAAACTGAAGGAACAAAACAAAACAGTAACTGACACAGAACCCAAGAATGGACTAACAGTTTCTAAAGGGAAAGGGACTGGGCACGGTGGTTGGGAAGGCAGGGATAAGGGGATTAAGGGGCATTATGATTAGCACATATAATGTAGGGGGGGAAAATGGGGAAGGCAGTATAGCACAGAGAAGACCAGTAGTGACTCTATAGCATCATAACTATGCTGATGGACATTGACTGTAATGAAGTAGGTGGTGGGAACTTAATAATGGGGGCATTCTAGTAAGCAGAATGTTGCTCATGTGATTGTATATTAATGATACCATAATAAAAAAAAATCAAAACAAGTCATCCACTTAAAGAATCTCAAAGATACTTTTAGGTCTAGTTTAAAATGTACCTTAAAAATGTTACTGAATACTAATCACTGCATAATTAAGTTTGCTAATGTCAGTAAAAAGACAAGCCATCTTTAAAGATCTAATTTTATGTTGTATATTGTTTTTTAAGTGTAAAATAACAGGAAAGAAAGTTAAGCACACAGGAGTTCAATAAGACAAAAAACTAATATGGTCTGGATAAAACTGAAGGATTAGTGTGGTGTGACACAGAGAAGTCAGGCTCTTAAGGAAGTGACACTTAGCATGAGAAGAGTTGGGAAAGAAAATGAGCAAAGGCCTAGAGTGGGAAACAAGCATATCATGTTCATGGGAAAGTGAAGGGTTTAGCTTAGTAACTGAGGATTCTGACTCATCTACAGAAGGATCTGACTGGAGAAGTTGCGTCAAATTAGACAGTTTTAGACACATATGGGGGTGTTAAAATGTCCTTCTGTGGACAATAAGGCCATCAAATGAAGTACTATTTCTCATGCTACATTAAGTAATAAAAGCAATCTTGAAATGTTATGATTAGTTTAAAAAAATTACCAATGAAAGGCTGATATATTTATGTATTTAGATAAACAAGTCTTGAAAAGTACACATTAAAGCCAACAATACTTAATCTGGCAGTTAAAATTTTTGGAGGGGCTGATAATTTTCTAGGCAGAAGAGGGGATAAAATAAAAAATGGCAAGCCAATAGGAATATAAGGGAAATAATTTTCTCAAACAAAAATCATTAATCCTAATTCTAAGTGAAAAGAGACACAAAATGAGCAAAAGCTATTGGAAAAATGGCTGATAAGACTTGCTTGACACATGGTTGCCACAAACCGTCAATTTGTAAAGAACTTAGTTATTGCAAAGTGCAACAGAATGAAGCACAATAAAATGAGGTATGCCTGTACTTCTTGTTATTCATCTTACTCTAGATAAAAGGTGCTTTTACTTTACATTTTTGACATTTTTCTTAATGTTGAAAGATGAAAAATCATGAGTATTATGTAAGGCAACCACTGCAAAATATATATACTGCTACTATTTATTTCATGAACTCTGTATTACTGACCTATGATCAAGAGTTTGACTATACTTTCAAATACGCTCTTACCTATTAAAAAGCAGAACAGTGAGGTGAAGGGTAACATCACTACTGTTGGACACTGTTGGCTTCATTGTCTGAATGTATCTGAGCGCTTGTCTGTGCTCATGCTGACTCATCAAGGCTTGAATAATCTTTGAATGTTGCCATGACAGAGGTTTTGCAGTAGCTGGATGAAAAAGAAGATCCAAACCACTCTGCAAAAATGACATGAAAATTGGTAGCTAACCTTTAAAAAGACAAGCAATACTAATAGTAAAGTGACGAAAATCAAGATAAAACCAATTTAAATAAAAGCCAAAACTATCTAATCTATGGTATATTTTATTTTTAAAAAGCCTTATCAAAGGCTTCATACTTGAGACCTTGTCAAGCTATTCTGTAAAATTTTTTCACCAATTTCAACATATCAGTGCCAAACCCTGCCTTCTGTGATTCTCCCAACACATAGTAATACTTATTTTTTACCTGTTTCCTTCTTCAGACAGTAAGGAATCTGGGGTTCCTAACTGTTTGTATTTATTATCTGAGATAGAGCTTGGTGAATGTATTGATTAAACCACATCCTTAAATTATGTCTACAAGTAGACTGAGTCATATTTTTAATATCAAATTTGATCTAGTTATGTTTTTCCTACAATTGTAACAGTTCACAAAAGTTTACATTCCAAATAAACTAAGACTTACCTCATAGTCATTATGATCTATCAGCCAAAACCCTTGAATAAGTTTAACCTGGCCCCAAGAAATGGCAAAGGCAGTTGGAAATGATTCAATGTAATTATCTGTTTTGTTTGGAAAGGAATACATAATATCGAGTAGCAAATAAATGGTCTTTTAAAAAAGAGGATTAAGGACAATAAACAAAAACCCCTATGAATACTTATAATGTGTAATAGGACACCAATAGCATGACAGAAAAGATACTTGAGAGATTTCCTTTGTGTCCAAAAGGCCATTTATGGATATTCTGCTATGGAAGTATAGTTTCATTAAATGGAGGTTAACAGCCAGTCCCATGACCAATTCATTCATTTTCAAAAGTAATATAACAAAGAGATGAACTAAAGCACTTTAGCAAACATTATCTTATAAATCATGAATGGAACTGCATTTTTAGACTAAGAAACTAACATTAGCACAGAAATCTTATTGCAGAGACCACGGATCTCAACCACAATGCCTAAAATACTACTAAGCTACCTTATAATATATTCATATTTAGTACATAAGTTAACCTTTTTGAGAATGACCACTTGGCAGGAATGTTTAAGAGCAGTTGTTCTTAACTTCGAGAATGTTGGACACATGTTGGAATCTGATGAAAGCCATGGCCCCTATCCTAGAGAAATAAACATTAAACAAAATTTTGCATAGTTTCACATTAATCACAGACAATCTGAACCCAACCAACAGGTCCTGGGTTGAGAACTAACTTTTCTTTTGAAAAGAAATTCAAATGTGGAATTGAGACTGGATTAGATTTGTAATGTTTCTACTACTCTGAAATTTTATGATTTTGGTAATACATAAATTATTGATAAAACTTGTTTGTTATGCTTCAGAAGATAGGAGACTGACGAGAATTAGGCTTGGGGTGGATTAATGATTGTGTATTGAGCATTGACTCCCCTATACAGAATTTTATTGTTGTTAACAACCATTTGATCAATAAATATGAGAGATGCCCTTTCAAAAAACAAAACAAAAAAATAAATAAATAAATTATTGATAAAACTGTAAAGGATACAACAGAATGCTTGTTTGCTTTGGTAACGTTGTCTAGCAGGTATATGTCAAGGAGTGCCTATAAAAGGGATAAAAAATTTGGTGCATTTTATATATTCATTCATGCATGCTCCTTGCTTTTCCCAAGCCTGCGCCTGGTGTCAAAAATACAGCTAAGCTTGTCTCCCAGCCCACCAACATTGGAGATTTTCTAAGTGATACGATGTTATTGCAAACCTACATGTAGACTGGTAGGAGGATATTTTCCTGTGCCTCCTTCATCCCGTTTCCACAACTTCTCAACTTCATCTCCCAACTGAGAAACTATTCCGTCAATCATCAAACAATCAGGGTTCCACTTCCCTCTGCATAAGGGCACATTACAGATTACTTATTAGCATTAACTATTATCAAAATAGTAAGCACTGAATTCTTAAAAGTAATGATATCAACTATAAAAGGGAGAAGGGAGTTGAGAACAGGACCCCCTTTAGCATCACATCAACTCCAGACATCAAGGAGTTAGTCAGACAAACCCAAAAGAATCTTCAAGTTCGCCCATCAGCAAGCCCGTCAGTGAAGGTCAGGTCCTGGAGAAGAATGTGGTCCAGCCAACCAAGTGCCTGAGGCCATCTATTTTTTATCATCTTGAACAATTTACCAAAGCATGACAGCCCAGGAGAGTGAAAAATAAAACGGCAGTTCACAAAGAATTAAGGTTTCAGTTTCATCACTTAGACTTGTCTTTAACTTCAGTAATCTCTTCAAAAATATACTGAGCACCTACAAAGCCAAAAGTAGATACCGTCCCTGTCTGTTTCCTCATCTAATATTAACAATAGCAGCTGCAGTTACTACTTATTGAGCTTTTCCTATGAGTCAGGTGCTGTAAGAGGAGCCTGGCACATATTATTTCATTTAATCTTTATAATGACTTTATAATTTATGTGACAAATAGGATTAGAAAGCTCAGCTAACCTGCTCAAGGACACACACTTATCTAGAATTTAAAAATATGGCTAATAAATCCCTTGAGTCCTTTCTCACTATCTAGATTAGTTGTTCTAAAGCACTGGATGCCAAAGTTTGCCATACATCAAAATTACAGCTAGCACAGCCTTTTAAGTATTGATTTCCAGGTGATTCTGACAACAAAAGCTGGAATTGATGTTTGTAAATCGCTGCCGTAAATGTCGTATGTTGCACTTCACTTCTGTCACTCCAACTTGAGGGAGGAGGTTAACTGATTAGCTAATTAAGTAATTAGATTCTTGAGGCAGGGCCAAGGCTTTCTTAACACGATTATTTCTACTTCCTTATTTCTAAGGCACCAACTAGGCTAATATTCATATATTTCCTTTTTTTTTTAAGGGAGAGAGGTAAAGGAAATAAAAACAAAAGAAGTGGTTGATGTGCTGAAATGCAACTATTTATGGAAAGAATGCAAAGTAACTGGTTATATATTTTATACTTTTTTGATGAACAGTAAGTAGCTTCTAGTCTTTTTCTGAATAAGAATTCTCAGGAAAAACACAAGTTTAGATTAGAGAATCTACGCTAAAAAATCAATTATGATAAATAGTTTTATTTAGGAAATAAGCAGCTACACTCAAGTTTTGAAATAAATGTGTAATCATTAGGTCAAGGCAAACATTACAACTAAAATAGTAATGCTGGTAACAAATTCTGATACTTTACTGAGAATTTCACTCACTCATTCATTTTGTAACATGATGAATTCTATTCTGAGAAAGCTCTGACTTTTTACAAAAGTAATTTCTAAAATGTTTTTTGAAGGCCCTGGGTGTATTATACCTTGATAAATGTTCGCAGTTCTGCCGATGGCTGGTGTAGTAGCTCTGAATTCCAGGGTAGTTGTAGCGTAACCGTGGTAACTGCACAGCATCATCTGGATTGTTTTAAAGAGTTGGAAAGAAAGCTAAGTAATATTTCCACAATATCCCAACAATACTTAAGGTTACACAGAGTGGTATTTTACGACAATTTTAAAATGTTTAATTTGCAGGATTCCTAAGTTTAAGTAATAAAGGAATACTACATATCCCCTTATTAACAGATGTGTAAATGAGAAAGCTGTGTCCTTCATTAAAGTCTGTAACAAGAACACTGGCTTAAAACCTTGGAAAAGTTATACTAAGAAATAATTCTTCTCTTAGACACTTATGATAATTTGAAAGCAAGCAGTGTTCACTATTTGTTCAAGTAAAAGAAAACTATGAAACAATAAGATCAACATTAACAATGCACAGTGGCACAACGGCTTCTAAATCAAGTCTAATGTGTTTCCTAGAAATGCAAGAAGTCAGATGCTTTATAGGATGCTCTAAGAAAATACAGCAAAAGTCCAATCCTGTAATTCTTGGTATTGGTATGAATCATTAAATAAAAGATATTTAATTGATGGAGAATAATACTGGTCAATAACCATATTAAAGTAAACTTTAAAAAGAAAAAGAAGAGTAAATTAGATTATAAAACTCTTAGTTCTATGGATTTAAACTGTAGCTGGTGATACTGTTGAACCCATTTTCAGAAGCCATGTTTTGTCAAATATTCTTTCCTCCTAAAAGTTATCCAAATCTAATAAATACGTATGGAACAACTGTGTATCTGGCATAGGGTGAGGCACTGAGGATAAAAAGAATGCAAGAAGGTAAGAATAGAGGAAAACTTAAGTGAGGTGTCAGAAGAAAGGAAACCTGAGAAATTAGAGCACAGTAACAAAATTATAAAGATTTGAGGAGGAGCCAAGGTGGCGGCATGAGTAGAGCAGCGGAAATCTCCTCCCAAAACCATATATATTTTTAAAAATACAACAAATACAACTATTTCTAAAAGAGAGAGGAGAGGATACAGTACAACAGCCAGGCTACACCTACATCTGCGAGAACTTGGCATCTCATAAAAGAGGAAAGATACAAGTCACAGCCTAGCAGGACGCGAGTGCTCCCCCAACCCCAGCTCACCAGTGGGAGGCGAGGAGTCGGAGCAGGGAGGGAGTGGAAGCACAGGACTGCTAAATAACCAGCCCTAGTAATCCACACTGGGAGCACACACACACATTGCATGGTGTGCTGGACATTAGGGAAATGGAAAAGTAAAATCTGTGAGCGGCTCCCCGCAGTCGCCTCCCCTGGGACAAAAGAAAAGTGAGTGCTTTTTTGAAAGTCTTAAAGGGACAGGGGCGTCACAGCTAGAAGGAATCATCCCGGTACACTTAGCCCAGCAGGCTGGGAATTCTGAGGAGCTTCGGACGCCCCAGCCCCCTGGGACACAGTGAAGCTCTGAAACCCCTAAGGTTGACGATAAACAGCCTGCTGTTCATTCCCCCTCCAGCGTGGCCCTGCTACAGTGGCTGAGCAGCCTGAGAGCAGCTGCACCTACAGCAGCCGCCCAGAGCCTCCTTGCAGTGCGCTGCTACGGGCACAGGCTGAGGAAGCCAGGGCAGGACGCAGAGGCACACCGTTCTCGCAGGAGAGCACGCCTGGCCCACCTGCCTCTCCCCACAGGGCTCTGGGCTGCCCTGCTCACGGCGGCTCAGAGGATTAACCCGGACGCTGCTCCCAGTGTGAGGGTGACCAACACAGGCAGCAGAGAGGGGCAGGGAGACCAGCAAGTAGGAAGGGACTTTGTTCTCACAGCTGACACATGCACCCACCCGCCTACCACTACCTCTATCGCCATGAAAAGGCAGAAGAATTTGGTCCAGTCCAGAATTCCCAGACAACCCCCGAGAGAGGACCTGGGAGACAGATATAACCAATCTTCCTGAAAAATAATTCAAAATAAAGGTTATAACCATGCTGATGGACCTGCAGAGAAATATGCAAGAGCTAAAGGATCAAGTTAGGAGGTAGAATACAGAAATAAAACAATCTCTGGAAGGACTTAAGAGCAAACTGGATGAGGTGCAAGAGGCCGTTAATGGAACAGAAATCAGAGAAAAGAAATACGGAGAAGCTGAGGCAGAGAGAGATAAAAAGATCTCCAGGAATGAAAGAATATTAAGGGAACTGTGTGACCAATCGAAATGGAACAATATTCGCATTATAGGGGTACCAGAAGAAGAAGAGAGAAAAAGGGATCGAAAGTGTATTTGGAGAAATAATTGCCTAAAACTTCCTCAAACTGGGGGAGGAAATAAGTCTCCTCAGACCATGGAGGCCCACAGATCTTCCAACACAGGGGACCAAAGGAGGACACCACCAAGACATACAATAATTAAAATGACAAATATCAAGGACAAGGACAGAATACTAAAGGTAACCAGAGAGAGAAAACAGGTCACCTACAAAGGAAAACCCATCAGGCTATCATCACACTTCTCAACAGAAACCTTACAGGCCAGAAGAGAATGGCATGATATATTTAATGCAATGAAACAGAACAGCCTTGAACCAAGAATACTGTATCCAGCACGATTATCATTTAAATATGAAGGAGGGATTAAACAATTCCCAGACAAGAAAAAGTTGAGGGAATTTGCCTCCCACAAACCACCTCTACAGGGTATTTCAGAGGGACTGCTCTAGATGGGAGCACTTCTAAAGCTAAATAGATGTCACCTGAGAAAATAAAATCATACCAAAGAAAGCAGACCAACTAAATACTAAATAAAGCCAAAAAAATAAAATCAACTATTCATAAAAGCAGTCAAAGGAAACACAAAAGAGTACAGATGAAAACAGCTAACATATAAAGAATGGAGGAGGAATAAGAAGGGAGAAAAATAAAGAATCATCAGACTGTGTTTATAATAGCTTAATAAGCGAGTTAAGTTAGACGATTGGATAGTAAAGAAGCTACCCTTGAACCTTTGCTAACCACGAATCTCAAGACTGCAATGGCAGTAAGTACATATCTTTCAATAATCACCCTATATGTAAATGGACTGAATGCACCAATCAAAAGACACAGAGTAACAGAATGGATAAAAAAGCAAGACCCATCTATATGCTGCTTACAAGAGACTCACTTCAAACCCAAAGACATACACGGACTAAAAGTCAAGGGATGGAAAAAGGTATTTCACGCAAACAATAGGGAGAAATAAGCAGGTGTTGCAGTACTTGTATCAGAGAAAATAGACTTCAAAGCAAAGAAAGTAATGAGATAAAGAAGGACATTACATAATGATAAAGGGGTCAGTCCAACAAGAGGATATAACCATTATAAATATACATGCACCCAACACAGGAGCACCAACATGTGTGAAACAAATACTAACAGAATTAAAGGAGGAAATAGAATGCAATACATTCATTCTAGGAGACTTCAACACACCACTCACTCCAAAGGACAGATCAACCAGACAGAAACTAAGTAAGGACACAGAGGCACTGAATAACACACTAGAACAGATGAACCTAATAGACATCTATAGGACTCTACACCCAAAAGCAGCAGGATACATATTCTTCTCAAAATTATAAAGATTTAAGAATTTTTTGATTACATTTACAGAAGAAGTAAATATTTTACCTAAGCCCTCTGGTAAAAGTCCAGAATGAGAGAACCAAAGAACCATTTGTGCATACTGACAGATGAGCTGGGTGACCTTACACTTATTGCTTAAATCCACAAGACCTGTAAAGAAGAGTTAAAATCAGTTAACATTCAACTGATCAACTGTAAACGAATAATCAAGACACTCAACTGTTTTCAAAAACTTAACTCATTACTTGGTGATGTTTAATAACAATATGTATTTTTGATCAAACTTAGCTTGAACAAATAATCTCCAAAATGCTAAAATAACTCACTGACTAAAGTGGACATTTTAGGTAAATATGCTTCCATCTTGGCTATATATTATTTAGCTAATTTCAGAAGTCAAAACCATATATTTATACAAACTAATACAGTATCATCAATATACATTGTCCAGACCAGGCCTTTAAATGAAATTGGCCATTTTGTTTAAATGGAAAAACAGAAAAAAAATTACATGTGATTGAAAAATGGGGAATACTACCAGAAGTATACCATCTAGAAACAGTCATTAAGTTTAACCCCCCAAATTGCACAAGCTTTTGTAAGCATGGGCTCACAGCCTGTCTAGTAACAGCCTGTAGCTTTTCATAAAAACAAACAAAAACAACAAAAAAATTTGAGACATTAGTAACATCTTTGCACAATGATCCATGTAAGACATAAGACATTTATTCTTTCTCAAATTCAAGAAGTAAAATTTAAGAAAAACATTCATTTATATAAACATAGAGCACCTCTGTCAGTGATCTCTTGGGCCTCTGTTGCAAAACAGCTTAAGACTGTATTAAGGTTGCTAAGAAGCAAATGGCATTGTTGAATAGACTGTATAGTTTGTGGATCGGTGAAACGACATGAACCATCAAATAATGGCGTACCTTTCAAGGATAAAATACAAAATCAGTTTTGACACAGTAAACCTGAATTAATTAAAATCACGAATGCAAAATTTCTCAAATTCCTATTAATCACAGAGTAATTCTATATATTGTAAGATTTATAAATACAAGTTTTGAAGTGGCAAATATCCTCAAGGAACTTGGAAGGGACAAATATAAATTATTACTTTTTAAAAATCTAGAATGAGATAAGCAATGTGAGCACAGAGGGAGGTGATCTAGACTGAACTTATGATATACTAGAGATCAGTTATATTCACTAAATGCTTCTCCTTCAAATAAATCTTTTATATCAGATATTTGATATACCATGTTGTTTCACAATTCATATTTTGTAAGAACCTTTTCTTCCACCCCAGTCTTCAAAAGACAGACACTAAAATTAAGATTCAAATAAAGACATTAAAATAAACTTGCATGCTTGCTTACTGTAGACTTGGTTGTCCTTTCATTTCAAACTCAAGGTTGTTTACAAATTCATTTTTTTGGGGGAAAATGGTATTTTAGTTGCTATTGGTTACTTTTTAGGTAAAATTTAATATTAATATTTAATATGTACATGGACCAGAAAACAAGTGTCTTAACACTAAATCCTTTTTCAAATGATCTGTTTCACTTCCAGTACACTTATACTTATTATTGCTTTGTATTTTAATTATTTCTAGTTAAGAAAGATTTTCCATTAACCATCAAGGCAGCAATAATGGCTGAGTTATCAAGTTCAACCCTGAACCACCACATCACGATCAAAGCATAACAAAGGCAAATAATTTAGGAATTTTCATTTTACATAACCTATATAATCAGTCCTGAAAACATTTCCTCTCAAAACATTAAATACAGTTCTTTTTACCAATTCTGAATCATCAGGTATTCCAGACTTCAACTGTACTAAGTGACACCTGAAATATTTAAAATTATTCAATGTTTAGAATTTCCTAAGTATGCCCTAAATATATTGTAGAACTCCCATCCATGTCTTCCTATCAAAATTTTGTTGGGTTAAAAATCTTCTATTAAGAATAACTTAAAAAAAAAAATCTATCTGTTCATTCATCATAACAGAACAAAAATAACAAAAACCTAAACTTAAAATTTTACTTTCATGTACAATGCAAGGGCAACCATAAATTACCTTTAACATTATTTTTGCACTAATTGGGCTAAATGGGTTTTTAATATTCACAGGATATATCAAAAGCCAATCAACAGACTAATAAGACTATCAAGAAGAAAAATTATTTGACTGTTAGAACTCATCTATTAGTGATGAGTTTTACATTGCTAACCAGCTTCTTTATACTCATAAATATTCTGAATGGAAAATGAGTTAAGTAGAGGAGCTTCTGAGGTCCCAGTATCAGCAGATTTTGTAAATGAAAACACCTAAGATCAAAAAGTAAGTAAGGTGTCATTCTGCAATTTGCTACTGAAGACATAGTAACATGCTGTCTGTTTAACAATCTGTGGAACATTTCAGTCAAAAAATAATTTTGTCATTCTAATATAAAAAAGTTTTCTTTTGGGGCTTCTTTAAAGAGTTTACAACTTCAAAATGATTAAAAATTATTAGTGTGTACCTAAAACATAAACCAAAACTAGTTTTTATGTACAATACTTACATAGTCTGTCAAATTCCTCTTTTGTGAGAACTACTTTATTCCATGTCCATTCAAGAACAAAGCGCAAATTAGCAGCAGAATTTGGTTGTTCTTATTTGTAAATATGAAAGGAAAAAAAAGGAATGATTATTGATAACAAACAAAAAACCCAGTAACTTCCAGCTAAGTAAGCAATGTTAGCATCACCACTGACAGACAACCAGGCTCATGCATTCTCTCAGTGCACCATACCAGGAGTACATCATCATTTCAGGTACTGTGGTGATGGATGTTAAGACCAGAGTTTTACCATTAGGAAAGATTACAAACACAAACTAAAAGGCAATCTACAAAATAACAAGCTTGTATTCTTTAAAAATGTCACTTTTTTGAAAGACAAAGGCTTAGGTATCATACAAGATTAAGAGAGATCAAAAAGACATGTAAACTAAAAACAGCATATTCTGGATCAGATTCTGGATTACCTCTCCCTAAAAATGCTAATAAATGACACTAACTGGGATAATTAGTAAGAGTCCAATAAGGACTATAGAATGGACAATATTATGTTTCAGTGTTAACTTTCTTCATTTTTATAACTGCAAAGTGGTTTTGTAAAGAGAATGTCTTTGTTCTGAGAAGGAAATAATATTGAAACATTCATGAAAAAAGAAGCATGATGTCTTCAGCTTATTCTCAAATGATTCAGAACAAAAATAATTTATGGGTGGACTGTGATGTATAGAGCGAGTGATACACACAGCTTGAATGAATCCCCAGGGAATTCAGTTGAGTAAAAGAGAGCCAACTGCAAGAGGCTGCATTCTGGATTTCATTTAACATTTTTGAAATAGCAAAATAGCAGGACATAGAGAACAGATTATTGTTGACAGGGCTTAGGGACAGGGTAGGAAGAGACAGGTAGGCCAAAAAATGGGCAACAAGGAGGATCCTGATTGTGATATTCTACTAGAGGTCTGCCAGAATTTACACTGAGAGGGAAATGTGGTAAAGGTTCTCTCTATATCTTACAACTGCATGTCAATCTACAACTGTTTTAAAATAAAGTTTAACATAACACCTCCCCACCACAATAGTGAACTGATAACTTTAAAAATACAAAAGTAATTTTTAATTGTTAAAAATCACAATCTTACCTTCTGTTATCCACCTTTTGATACATCCAGTCAAAAGTCCCAGGGAACTTGTCTGGACTGCTGCTGACAATATAGCTTCTAACTGTTCTTCCTAAAACATGAGTTAAAAAGAAGGAAAGGAAATAATATGAAAAGAAAGGATATGTGATCACAGACTCTGAGGTGGCAAGTTCTACTTCAGAATACAAAATCATGAAGGCTTAAAAATCACTGTGACTCACTAGGGTGACTATAAACACAAAGACAGAGTAACAGTATTGGTGAATGTGGAAAATCAGAATCTTTACACAGTGCTGGTGGGCATGTAAAATGTGGTAAAGCCACTTTGGAAAACAGTCTGGTAGTTCCTCAAAATCTTAAACAGAGTTACTATATGACCCAGCATTTCCACACAAAAACTACTTCTGAAGCAGCATTATTTATAATAGCAAAAAAATGGAAACAAGCCAACTACCCATCAACTGAAGAATGGAAAAATATAAAATGTGATATGCAGTGGAATTATATAGTCATAAAATGGGATGAGGTCCTGATGCATGCTACAATGTGGATGAACTTTGAAAACATTATGCTAAGTCAAAGAAGCCAGTCACACAAGATATGTATTATCCAAATCTATTTATAAGAAATTTCTAGAACAAGTAAATCTATAAAGGCAGAAAAGTAGTTTAGTAGTTACCAAAGGCTGTGGAGAGAGGGGAGGGAGAGGGAATGACAGCTAATGCATATAGGGTTTTCTGGTGAAATGTTCTAAAATTGTATATGGAAATACTTTGCACAATTCCATGAATAAACTTAAAACCACTAAATTGTATACTTTAAACAGGTAAACTGTATGGTATATGAATATCTTAATAAAGCTGTTATTTAAAAATCGTAAGGCTCATTTAGTATCAGAGAAATCTGCAAATTTCATTCATTATATCAGCAAAGAATTTTTAAATAGGAATTACATGAATACATGTGCAAAACAAGAATAGAGGAAATTATAATATAATAAAGGTTCCCCAAACCAAGAGAAGCATGATTCTAAATGGACACTCACTAAAGCAATCTACATACATTTAAATCAGAGATAAAACAGGGATGTCTGCTACTACCACTATTTTTTCTAGTCTGTAGAGGTCCTACCCAAATGCTATGAGAAAATAAAAACAGAAAAAAAAAAAAAAACCCAGCCTTTATTTGCTGATGCCTGTGTACTTTGAAAACCCGAGATTCTGATTTAATTAAGTAGATAGTAAGTGAATATACAAAAATCAATTGCATTTTTGTGTACTCGCAATAACTATCTAGAAATGAACTATGAGGAAAATATTCTACTCATAAAGAGGAAAACTATAAAACACTTAGGGGTAAAAATAGAAGCCTATAAGAAAATAACCTTAAACTACTACTGACAGATGTGGTAAAAATAGAACCCTAAGAAAATAACCATAAACTGCTGACAGATGTAAAACAAACCTTGAATAAATTGAAAGATATACCATTTAGACTTGGATGGGGTATTATAAAAATGTCAATTATCCCCAGAATTAGTATGTGAATATAATAATAAAACTCCAAAGAGAATTCTCATGGGGTACTAGAAAAGACTACTGTATACTCACTATCAAAAAATAAAAAGCCTATGCATTGCCAAAAATTTACAGAAAAAATTTGCATTACCAAATATAAAAGCAGCATATTAAAATGGCATAGAAATAGCAATCAGATCCCACCCACAGACCCCCTCCCATTTCCCCCACGGTAACCACTACCACTCTCTCCTGCATTCTCTTGCTTTTCTTTTTGTTTCAAATGGCCAACAAAATGTCAGTATTTACATGCTTCCATACATTTTAGTCAGTTTTCTGAATTCAAATTATTCGTGTGCTCTTTATATAATTGGGGAAAAAATCAAACTGGGATGTATAAAATGATCATAGAAAACATTAAATGCTATCAACATGGATAAATTACAGGTAATTTTTTCTCATTTTCCTTTTTAAATTTAGGTATTATTGCTTTAATTAAATTTGACAATGTATAATTTGAAACAAAAATTGGTATTAAGTTCCCTAAAGTAAAAAAATTAAATGGTGCACTTAAGAGTGCTCAAGTCCTTGTGGATGATGAGGAGTGGAAGGGGAAATGGAAGCCTACTAGCTTAAATGCATACAGTTGGAAATAAACAGTTTATACTAGTTAGCAAACCTGTTTTATTAAGCATAGTTCTCAATAGTATTCTTGGGCCATTAAACAGAAGGAACAGTTCTCTTCTGCACAAAGTATTCACCCTTCTAGAACTCTCACCAAGTAGGTAGGCTAAAAAGACAGTATTACTCACAATGAACAAAATAAAGCCAGTAAACTACTTAAGCCTTTTCTAAAAGAAAGGGGAAAAAAACCTTCCTACTTGTGGATAAAGGTGGAACATCACACACTACAGGTATTTATCTCCTCACCTTGTAACACCACCAGACCTCACTAAATGATCATAAAGAATAAAGAAAGGTATAAATCAACAAGGACAAAGAAAAGAGAAGGCATCATAGGATAAGATAGCTCAACAAAAAACTGAAAAGCAGTAATAACTAAAAGAGATTGAATTAGCAGTGTGAAGGAACCCACGCCCTCAAGTCCCTACTGAGGGGAAAGTTACATGACCATAGGATTAGTTTGGCTCTCAGAATCCTATTAGGCTAAGTTCTCGGAGAAACCAAGCACGGAGCAAAAGTTGCAGGGAAGGGTGGTCAAACATGGAGCTGAGAACAAGCAATGGGTTAAAACTTAGTATATGAAACAGACAGTCCCACCCTCCTGTTACCCTGCAGCAAAGCACTGTGGAGAGCCTGCCTGACACATCTTTGAAAAACCAAATGGCCCTGGAAAAAATTTGGGGTTTCCTCACTGAAACGGTACAAATCCAAGGTGTCATCCTAAAGTAAAGGATACCTCTGGATCAACTACTTCTACTCCCTACATCTACTCCTGGCAAAAGAGAGCTTATAATATGTTATTGACTCACTTTATATATGAACAGGTGACCAAGGCCCAAACATTTAAGAATAGGTACTGGCATCAAAAAAATGAAAATAATAAAATGATCCTAGAAAAAGTAGAGGTGATACAGGGAACTAAGTAAAACTTTAAATATACACAAATAGAAGATATTTCAGCCATAAAACAACAGAATACCATAAAAAAAAAAAAGACTGATCAAAGAATAAGAACTGATTGAAATTTAGAATTAGGGCCAAACTTTAAAAAATCTAATAGAAAGAATTTTAGAGAAAATCTAAAAAAAGAAAATGACAAAGAAATCTCCCAGAAAGTAGAAGCAGAGGCAAAAGAAACAACTGGAAAGTAAAGATGAGCTAATAGTGCTTGCTTTAGCAGTATACTAAAACTGATCAACAGAGAAGATCAGCATGTTCCCTGCTTAAGGATGACATGCAAATTTGTGAAGCATTCGGTATTTTTAAAACTAATAAAAGACTATACATATCAATGATACTTCAAAAAGAAAGTTACAAAAAATATATTTTTTAATATTCACATTAAAAAAAAGAGAAAGAGATAAAAGGATAGTCGACATTTGTCTAATCAGGTGCACAAAGAACAAAAATCAATCAAGGAGAAGAAAAAAATAAGGTTGTGTGAATGATAAACTAGGCCAAGTTTTTTTTAAGACCATCTGAAAGCTCCACAAAAAAGAAAGTTATATAAGAAAAAATGTTATTATAGATCATAATGCAACTATGTAGTAATATTTATACAGATACAATAATTTAAAGAAGCAGGGAAAGAGAAAGGGAAAAGTCTCCTGATGATAATAGTATTAAATGTTTCTCTTTAGTTCCACGAAATTAAGTGTTAAATTTCAACTGGAGGTGTTAAACCACCAGCAGTAATATTTGTATTTCATCTGATATTTAAAAGGCTCTTTTTCCAGTCATTCATTATGTTCTATATCTGCAATTATTTAAATAACTTAGTTCAAACACCACTTGGTAAGAGTTAACACCTTCTCTTTCTCCATGGGTAATGACCTGGGGTTGGTTTACTTTCTTCTAGCATATTTTATCAACAAATACTGAGTTAAAACAAATTTGAATTGGGAGCTGTCACCAGGCAACACTGTTTATTTTAAGAATGCCTCCTGATTGGTGAAATGTATTGGGATTAGAAAACTGTGAACAGATTATAAACATCATTGGGAAGTTAAGATTTTGACTTCCACAACTGAGTCAGACTCCTATTAACAATAGTCTTGTTTTGTAGAAACTTGGAATCTTCACTAATAGACATTCACAAAATACTGGTTTCTGTAAGCAGTGATTCTGAAAACTCTCCATTACAATCACATCAAAGGCTTATTAAAAAAACAGATTGTTGGACTCCACTCCTGGAGTTTCCGGTTTAGTAGATCTAGAAGTTCCTAGGGAAGCTGATGCCAGGGGCCACACTTACTGCTACAAAGACCATTAAATTCACCTACATCACGATGGCTTCCATTCCTGTGGTCTCATTCTATAACACCTTTGCTGTTCTTGCAGAGAGGGAAAATGGCCTATAGACTGCTATGACTTCTTCTCATGACATGTCTGATGGAGCTATGATGTGTTTTCTCTCCTATATCCTTCTATACAGCTAAGTAAACCTGGTATGAAGTTACAGTGTATTGAGTCTAAAGAGTATGAATTTTAAACCAAACATAAGATCATAGCTATTGATCATACAAAGTAGGCATTACACTATCCATCTGACTTACGCAGAACTACCTAATAAGATTTTTATAATAGAAAGCTACATATGATCCAAAAGAAACAGTTAAGTCAAAAATCACCTCACCTGACTTAAACTGGAAGGTTGAATATCAATAAGTCTTGGTGAAAGAAGGCCAGCCACAAGACATCGGTTATAACTATCAAGAATGACTTCACTGAGAGACGGTCCTGATTTCTTTAAAAAAGTCAAAGTCTGTAACAGATTAATAAAATATCAATCAATACTCAATTCAAATAACCAAATTAAAGAATAATTAATGAGTATTATCCTACTTTACACTTATTTTGAATAAAACTAAGACACTAAATGGAAATTATGGAAGACTGTATTTTTGCACTTCTTACAAGGAAAAGACTTTATAGGTTCTTGGGCTAAATCAGTGCTTGCTAAATTATGAAATGATGTGTTTTTCTGGTAGCATTTTACAACATATGATCATCCTCACTTTGTCCCAGGTACTGTGCCACCGTGCTATGTATCTTCTTTACTTCATTCATTCATAAGCTTTCTGAGAGGAAAGGAAAACTGAGAGGATGGGTAAGAAGTGATGTGGTAAGGCACTGACCTACTTCACTCTTTGCTTGGGAAATTCAAGTAGCTGACATTCACGTGAAGCTGGAAAAAAACATCCCAATATCTCCTCTGGCAGGCTGACATCAGTAATTGATGTTACTAGCTGTTACTTTAACAAGCCTAGTAGAAGTAACCATTTAGGCTGAAACACTGGTTTATGTAATTAACACTAAATAAAGTTTAAATTCATGATCTCACTTCAGTTCAGTAAGAAACACTCTGGTCTATATTACTAGTTGTGACTTACCTCTTTCTGAAAGCCAGTACAAGTTATGTGAACAACTCCTGAGTTTAACAAACAAGTGGCATCTAAAAAAGAGATTTAAAAAGATTCACTTCACATTATATTTGAGAAGGCATTAATACAACAAAAATTACTCTAACAACAGACTGCTAGGCAAGGGTATCAAATTATTGCATATATTTTAAAGTAATTTTTCCTGGTATTTCTATCCTAACAAAATCCCAAATTTTATCATAAATACATTAAATATGAAAGTCTTTTCTAGCAAATTTAAAATAGCGATAATTTCTTTACAAAACCTGTATTAAAATTTCTCATGTACACACATCAATTCCTGTTACCCAATATTAATGAGCAGTAATGTGATAAGAACAGATAGTACTGTGTGTGTGTGTGTACAATACACACACACATATATACACAATTATATAAATATATATATATATAAAAACTACACACAAATAGAGAGGTACATACTCTTGCATGTTATTTTTTGTAAGGGTAATGTTAAGAAATACATACCAAAATTATAAGTACTTGGGTTAAAAAACTGCTCAGGAGGTGGGTAAGAAGGAGGAACTCCTCGACTTAAACTTCTCTCATGTACTAATATATCCAAGATGTGATGTGGCGAAATCCTACTTACAACAGGATCCAGTGACCACAGTGCAAAATAAGAGCAATTACGTAGATATTCTCCAGATCTAAAAGAAAATTTTACAAAATGATTAAGTCACTGAACTGCTACACATACAAATAACCCTTCCCCCAGCTCCAAGAAAAGAGAAAAAAGGGGAAAGAAAAAGTGTCATACCTCAATGAATCTGGCATTTGTGCATGATACCAACGATTTATGTCGAAAAGCCCCAAATATATAGAAGGCTTTCCCTGTCCATATATATTGACCTGCCAGGTAAAGACTGCAACACTGGTGTCAGGAGACAGAACTAAAAGAAAAGAAGATAATTAAAAAAAAAAAAAAAAAGTCTAAAAGTAAAAATCCCTCGAATAAAATTATAGCAAGATTTTTCTAAGAGATTTAATTCATATTTGATTTGATTTGTCAAAACACATTTCTATCAGTTGTTTCAAAAAAAGAGATTCATTTACTTATATCTTTACTCTTTACTCTAAGAAAACCTTATCAAATAGAACTCATCAAAAAAGTTATATACTGGCTTTTTTTCAGTTAACACATTGGCAACCCTGAGGTATTGGACAGAGGAAATAGAAAATAATTTGAATGAAACAGAAAATGATTTGAATGAATATTCTCCCATGAATGGTACACAGCTAGTACCCAAGAATATCAATACCTAAAATGGATACCTCTAAGAGTTTAATCCTTCAGAAGATTCTAGTAGACAAAGACTGATTCAACTTTATGGTAAAATGGAGAAAAAAGACAAGTACTTGGATGATGGCTGTGGAATGGGGAATAGGAACAAAGTTAAGAGACATAAAGAGAAGGAAAGAAGAAAGTAAAAACCAGGCACACAACTAATAGGAAATACAAAAAAGATGTGAGTGGGGAATAAGAAGAGGTAGAGTTTGATGAATTCTGTTTTTGACATGTTTAACTGGATATGAAAACTGGATCACAGACATGTGGGGACTAGGACAGAGGACATCTCTGGGATGGAAGGACTAACCATGAGAATGAACACTGATAAGAACACAAAAATAATCAGAGCCCTAGTGAGCATTCCCAGAACTGAATGAACTTACCACATTTAACTCTCACAACCACCCTTTTCATCCCACTCACAGATGGGGAAACAGAGACTCAGAAACATTAAATAATTTGTCAAAGGTCACAACTGGTGACAGAGCTGGCTTTTGATCCCTGGTATTCCAAAGTCTATGTAATTTTTACTATGCTAGGATGTTTACCAAGAAGAAAAGATGACACTAAAGGAAACAAAGAAAAACTTCAAGGCAACTAAGGCATTTTACCAAATATGTCTCAAAAAACACAGAGAAGGAAACACTAGTCATAGACCGACTATCCAGAAATGACTCATACTATCAAAACTGAAGCATTTTTGTCTATTTTAACAGCTGGATTAAAATACCAAGGTCCCCATTTCCTCAATTACTCATATTCCTCAATTACTGAATTCTACATAGCCATATGGAGAGCAAGAAATACCTAGCATTTCATTCAGACCTGAATAAATTCCATAGTTAGTATTCCGATATTTTAACTGCTAGGGTATGAACTCTAATACCTGTCATAAATTTTAAATCAAGATAAATCTTAAAATCAAGCATTCACATGATACATATTAGGAGTACTTTTAACTAACCTTCATTCATACCTTCCTCCCTGTCACCATGAGATCGAAATTTCTCTATACTCTGGCATCCCAACAGTTTGGTATTAGTTGTCTGTTCCCTCAAAGGAAACATGCCACCTGTGAGGTCCAGTGTATATCTTTCTTCACAGTACTCTAACCCCTAAACATAAAACACACAAAAATCAGCATGTTAATAAGATTTTAAGCAAAGTCACTCTAAAATTAAAGGTACTCCAAACTTAAAGGTTTTTCAAGCAATACAAAGAAAACACGATTGCTTTTCAAGCAATACACAAAAAAGCTAAAGACCTAAGAGCACAAATCACTGAAAAGGGCTCTAAAATTTTATTAAGCAAAAACACAAATAAGAGGTTAGACTTAGTCTCTCAAAAATCACTAACAATAAACCTAAAGCTGTTATCAAACATGAGATCCTTCATGCATGACTGGCATGGAACATAAGCTCAGCTAACCATTAAAGCTATATTATTTACATATATACTCTAGGCCAGCAAAGCCATCTCTGTTCTCACTGAAATTTCTGCTCTAGAATAGTAGTTCTTAAATTTTTTTGACTCATCAATCCCTTTAGGAATCTCACAAAAGCTACAAAACTTTCCCCAGAAAAATGCATAATCATAAAAGGACTACACATTCAGGGACTTCATGGATTTCCTGAGACCCAACCATATATCCTAAAACACCAGGTTAATGAAGCCTATTGCTAGGAAAAGGAATGTGAATGCTGACCTAATATTGCCTATTAGCAGCACCTCATCTTTCCTCAAGAATTCAGCTAGAAAGCCATCCTAAAGGTTATATGCATTTACCCTCTTTTACAACTCTAAGTGGCAAAACAGTTTATAGTCACACGAAGGCTGACTGCTTTTTATGCTGGAGCAACAAAGTGTGGTTATTTTTCCTGGATACCAGTTAGGCCACAAGCCTGAGTCTTGTCCAATCCTCTCAATTCAGAGGAAGGTGAATGCATGGAGCAAGTAAGAGCACTACCTTGATAATATATCTAGTCTCCCAATCCCTACCTAATTCCATTATATTAAGAATACTGTAGAAACTTGAATATGAGTAACTTTTCAATATCTTACTATCTTAAAGATTTAAAATAGGCAAACAATTAACAAAATGGTAAATATAAACCCATGCTAACATTACCATTTACCTCATATAAGATTTGTCCTGATGCCAAACAGTTTCTATCACTGAAAGCCAGCTGAAGTAGGTGCAAACTCAAAACATCCCCTTCACTGAAAAGAAACAGAAATTAATGAGACCTAAATATCATATTATATAAGAGGCATCTCTTACTGTCCAAATAAATTTTGTTTGCATAGCATATTGAGTGCATATGACAAGACTAAGGTCACTAAGAAGAATTTAGTTTTTTTGACTGTTTTCATGAAATGCACTCCTTTGGAACAATAACTGGTTAATTTTTATTGATTCCAATTAACTTAGGCTGATGTTGACTGCATACTTAGATGACACCTTTTGTGGCAGAGATAACTGTTTACCCAATATTCCTCCCCCTACTGTTCAATAAATAGGTACGCTTTAAGTAAGCACATGGCTGCTTAAAATATACATTCCCAGCTTCCTCTGCAGTTAGGTGAAGTAGCCCCAAGTTATGGCCAATGGGATGTGACCGGAATTATTCTATGGCACTACAGAAAATCGTCCTTAAGGGACAGCAGCCTTTTGTTCCTCCTTCCTGGTCTCTTCCTCCATCTTGTTAGACTTCTACCTAAAATGAAGACCTTGCTCTGTACGATGAGAAGGGCTATACAGTAAGGTTATGAAGCAACTCTGCACTATTTGATACAGTATGCAGTAAGTATTTAGGGCACAGATTTCACAGCACCCTGTCTGAATGTGAATTTGTATTCCTATTAGCTGACCTTTCTTTTCCTAAAACATTTTTTTTACTTGATTTCCAGTACACCACACTCTCCTAACATTCATTCATTCCTCTTACTGCACCATCCCTAGTCCTCTGCTGGTTGTTCTACTCCCTTGTTCTCAATCTCCAATTCCCAGTTTCAGTTTCCAGTTCTCCTCTTCTCTAGCTATTCTCACTTACTCAGGGCCAGTGGTTGTCAATTTTTTCCCATATTATCAGGAACTTTGAAAAAACACTAACGCTTAAGCCCTACCACAAGATATTAACTTGTATGGTGTAGCCAGACCAAATTCAAACACTTACCTTACCGTGGCTTACACAGCCTATATAAACTAGTTCTACCTTTCTGACCTCATCAATGACTATGCCACCCTCTACCCTTACTGGTCTTCTTGCTTTTCCTTGAGTCACTTTACTAAGGTTTTTGAACTCTTTCCTCCAGATCTTCCTCCCATGGCTCACCCCCTTACTTGCTCCAACCAATTTCATTTAAATCTCTCTATCTGTACTATCTAAAATGGCAGTTTCCCAACTCTACCACACTTCATTTTCTCCTTTCCCAGTTGTATTTGTCTGTATTTAATATCAGTACTAAAACTGTATTAGATATATGTACTATCTAATAGTTTACTTACTGTCTTCCTCACAGAAATATAAAACCTAGAACATAAGTTTATCTCTTATGCATTGCTATAACTCTCTAGAATAATTACTACCATAGAGTGGGTGCTCAATAATTTTGTTGAATACACAGATGTACATGAAGCAAAGACAAACAAATTTGACAGGCAAATATTAAACAGGATAAACTGCATACAGCCAACATTGAAAGGAATACAAATCACTTTCTTCACTCACTTTTCCATATTACAAAACTAAACATAGCTTTTATTACAACTGATGAGCACTATGGCAACAAATGAAGTCCTATACCCATGTAATTTTGTGGTGGTATAGTCACTATACATTGATTTCTTTTTACTTCTTTTATTTTGTTCAAAGGATTGCTCTTGCTCTGATGGAGAGAAAAAAAAGACCATGCCTGGGCAGACACAGGGTAGTCTGTGGGCTCCCATAAACTGTATACAAGATTATTTACATTCACTTACACAAAAGCATATAATCAATGCATATGCATGTATAAACAATACATATATACATATATAAATGAATGTAAAGTCCACAAAAATACCACTCTAAAAAACACCTTACATTAATAACACTGACAAATGCAAAGCTAATCATTTAGGAATAAATAATCCAAATTACAAATTAAGCCTATCCTATCAGAAGTATATACTAAAAAGTGGCTTAAAAATTATTAGATAGTTTTCATGAGTTATTACTCAACGTGTTATACATAATAAAGATACAGGGCATCACCTTAAGAAAAACAGAAAACAGTACTCTTCCCATATTTTAAACTGTAATTCAACTGTGCTCAGAATGCATATATAGCTCTGAAAGCTACCACAAAAAAGGACTAAGGAAAGTGCATATAGTTCACAAGGATTTTAGAAAAAAAGACAGGAACAGAGAAAACATTGCATTTGTGATTATAAGGAGAGTGAGAGCATCACTTATCTATAAGACTAAAAGGACTAAACCTCTACAAAATCCATAAAAACAAGAATGGCTATGGGAAAAATGAATTCAGACTTATGCACTAAGTTCCAAAACAATTTAAGAGGGAACCCCTCTAGGCTTTACTGTGAGAAAGGAAACGAAAAAAAAGAAAAAGAAAAAAATCCACATGAAGACTAGTAAATATACAGCTTCTCATCCCAACAGACAGTATTGGGAAGAAAAATAAATGGAATGCAAAAATTATTTATATGAAAACCCCCTTTCATTTCCACTACAATAGAGCCCTCACAAGGCATATTCCTCAAGTGCTGCTAGCCCACCTACACTTGGATGGATGGAAATAAGGATGACTCAGTGAGGGGGCATCCCACTGTCTACTGTCAGTTTTACTCCAGGACTGACAAATTTCAAAAATGGCAAATCAATTCGTCATTCACTGAGTTACTATATGCACTTCCCTTAGTCATTTTCTGAGGCATTTTTCAGAGGTATACATGCATTCTAAGCACAAATGAATCACAGTTTAAAACATGGGCAGAGTACTGTAGTGTTTTCTGTTTTATTTAAGATAAAACCTGAGTGAGGACACCTAACACAAAAACCCAAACTGAACACAATTCAGGTACCTATAATCAAAGGCAGGATGGATTTGGGTAATTACTAGGACAGTGAGTTACCAGGATCATGGTATTTATACCACAAACTTAAGTGTTTCATTGATTATCAAAGAACAAACTAACCAAAGAAAAATAAGAGAAAATCAATACTTATATGGTTCTAGCACTGGAAATGAACATGCTTTATTTCCCTTCTACTTGCCTTTTGCAATATATTCTTAGGATCAATTTGGCTAACTTTTCCCTATTATAAGCTCTAACTTTGTTCCAGCTGAAGCTAGTGAGAAATATTTTTTTTCAGTTTCAGAAGGGCTCAACAACAGATTTAAGGATAAATAAAAATGAGAAAGGCATACATAACAGAGAGAAAAAAGGAATGAATTACAAAAGAGGAAAGATGTTTTTGGGAAGGAATACCGGCCATAAAAATTTCCTAAGATAGTAAGAGGTGCTTGCTCATTTGTATCAGCTTACTCTTCAAAATAACATTCAAACAAGTCAAAAGGCACAACAACTTCTTACTGATTTCTCAGAATTACTCAAACATGTAGAAACAATATTTAACTTCTAAAATCATTTCAACTACCACGAATTTACAAATTATGTTGCCTTCACTAAAATGAGACAACACAGTAGAAAGTGTTTCAAAAAAATTGTATAATCACAAAACAATAAAAGAACAGCTGTTCTCTTTTTGACAAATTTTTTTTTAAATTCCATGTATCACACCTATCTTGTGTAGACTGAACAGCCCACAAGTAACAGCAATTACGAGGATCATTCTCAGGTTCTTGAAAAGTAACAGCATATACAGGAACTCTTCCACCTTCCAATTGTGTGTAGTATCTGCAACAGCACAAAAATTAGTATACTTAATAATTTTAAGTTATAATTGCATGAAAAAGGAAGGTGCTTAACATAAAAATTTGACTTAGAACACTACTTGTTCAAATCATCTCATCTTCAACCTACACAGGGTACAAGACATCAAGACAGTACTGAGCCCTGGGGTAGAACAGGGAAGCAGTATAATTACTAACGTGCGTGCATACAAGTGTGTGTGAAAGTCCTTCCAGGCATATAAACATATGACACTATGCACTGCTCCCCAATAAGAGGTACCCTAGTAAGAAAGGAAATACTGCCACCACACCATTTCAGTTGTTTGGGGTTAGATCCAGTTCCGCCATTACTCTGACAGAATGAGTTAGAGTCTCAAGAGTTCCCATAAACCCCCTAAAAAGCATATTAGCCAAGAGATGATAGTGTTACACTACAGAACCCAGGTTCTCTAGGCACCCTTAAAGAAAAATTCAAAGACAAGGGCTGAGAAAAGGATCAGCAGAGTTGTGACAGACTTCCCACAGGATCTACTAGGCAATAGCATCACCACTTCATTACTGTTATTTTGCAGAAAAGTTTGAGGAAGTGCAAGGACAGTCAGTGCTTAGTTAAGGTAAAAAATCGGCCTGATTAGAGATGAGAGAATCTTGTTATTCCCCATCTCTCTTTTTTCCTATACTTTAATAGTGACAAACACTTATTACCAAAGTTAGCCAAGTAGGTACCAATTTGTTGGTGAAACTGAGCACAGAGTTTGGAAGGATTACTATTTTGTTGAGTCATTTGCAAGATAAATTACTCAAGAAAATATTCCCATATGCCTTGGGGGAAAAAAATTAAATTCACAACTTAAGAGATAATACTTAATTATTAATAGAGATTAAAAATCTATAATGCCTATTATATTTGCTACCTCCTTCAAAAAGGGTTAATTCCTTAGCAACTTTAACACCATAAATATTAATAAAAAGTATCAATATATTTGGGGGAAGTTTTTGACAGCATAAAAAATTTAAAACACGGTATTTTATAACTTTTATTTTTAAAAAGCATGTTTTCCTGTCAATTCAGAACTACTATTAAACTACTACTTCATACATTTGGTAATGAGGAAAAGCACTTCTGAAAGAATGCATGCTATACAAATATATAGGTCATCTTTACAGTCATGCATGCCTACTTAGCAAATGGAAAATAACAATTGAAATGCTTTTCAGATATACACTGAATCAACCTGAATTCATGTGCTAAGTCATGCCTATTCCGCATCAAGCTATGGTTTAACACAATGATAAATTACTCATAATCATTAATCTATTCTACTTTTTCTCCATATGCTAATTTAAAAATACTAACAACATGTACAAGTTAAATTCAGACAGAAACTAGCAACAATCAAGTAAAAGTTATACATACTCTCTTTTCATGCTTTTCATATTCCAAAGTGCTAGGTTGCCATCTGAAGAACCTACACCAAGCTGATTTGTCCTGTTTATGTAACTAAGAGTTGAAATGGCTGTTCCCAGTGGGCTCACTAATTGGAAACACAGATGACGTCCTTCTCGCATCACACTTTCTCTGATGTGTGGTACTTCAGCTGGGATGCCAATTATGACTTCGAGGTCTAAAAAAAATTAAGACTAAGATTTACAAATTATAAACAGCATAAAAGAAAATACATCACCCATTAATCCACCAGCAACTGAAGACTACTGGCCTCAGTTAGTTACTGATAATGCATGCTCAACTACAAAATAAACACCCTTACCTACTTAAATTCTATGATTTTCAAAATACATTTACTGGTATAATTTTTTTAAATATCAATCAAAGTATATACCAAATATTATCTTGAAATAGACTTTTTAAAAATAAAGGATTAAGCAATTTCCTTAACAATCATAAATAAAACTGATGGCTTCTTTATTCAAATTTAGAACTAGCAATTTAAATATTCCCTTAGAGAAGTGGCTGGTTGTTCCCAGCCTGGGGTAGAAAATATTAAGTCTGGCACAAGTCCAGGAAGCCATTTATGTCTAAAGGGGATGTGTCAGACTAACATTAAGGGGCTCTCATTAGAGAAAACAGAAGAATTTTGAGCATCAAAAAACAATGAAAATAAATGAATGAAACACATTAAACATGTAAAACCTACTAAGTTCCTGCCCTCCTCACCCACAAAAGTAACTGAGTACCTGCTTCTTATTCTGAAATTAGTACTTAGAGCAATAGAAAGCATTTACCCTGTCTTTTGTGTACAAATTGTATTTCACAGAAACAAAAAGGCCGAGTTAATAGGGAAATTCTTCTTTAACAAAATCTTTAAACCATCATCTTGCAGCCCCTAATGAAACTGATTTAGGCAACAATCACAATGGATCAAACAATAACGTTAAAGTAGTTTTTCCACGCTTGGCTCTATTGACATTTTGGGTCAGATAAATCTTTGCTGTGGGGAGCTATCTCGTACATTGTAGAATGTTGGCAGCATCCCTGGCCTCTATCTACTAGAGGCCGATAGCACCATCTTCTTCCAGTAATAACAACCAAAAATGTCTCCAGACATTATCAAAAATCTCCTCAAGGGCAAAAATAACCCTCAGTCAAGAACCATTTATACAAGGGTTGAGGGAAACTTTAAAAAGGATCACGCCATCATCACCTGAACCCACTGAACACTAAATGTGAAAAAGACACCATGTGCCTCCTGAAATATCAAATATCCAGCATACTTCTGAAGTATCTCTGCCAAATGTTAATTCTTAATCTAATCAGAGCTAATTACATTTGCAGAAAATACAAAAAGTAAACGACACAAGAAAACACACAGATAATTCCAAAATGTGGGGCATTCTACCAGGTAACTAACTTCTTCAGCAAGATAGTGGTACTAAAATTAAACTAAAACGAGAGGATAGAAGGAGGATTGTTCTACATTTAGGGGAACATGAGACTGTCAAATGTAATGTGTGGATTCTGGATCCCAACTTAAACAATCCAAAGGCAAAAAGATGCTTTACAATCAGCAATTTGATTACAGACTGGTTATTAGACTAAACCAAGATTTATATTAATGTTGGCAGTGGCAATGGCATAATAATTATGTAGTAAAATAACCTTTGCTTTAAATTAATGCAAAAGAAGAAAAGGGGAAAAAAGAAAAGAGACAAGAAAGAAAACAGATGCACATGTATTTTGAAAACTGATTTGAATTTAGGTGATGGATATGTGGGAATTCTTACATTATTCTACCTACTTCAAGATGTCACAAATCTTTTAATTAGAAAAATATTCAGGACCGCATATCAATATAACTGTTGGGCAAGGGCAGATTCCCTCAATGCTGTTAAGCAGAGGAAAAAAAATCCTATCATACTGTACTTGATCACTTACCCCTAATCCCTTTTGCTTCTGATTATTTTTTTCAGAGACTAGCAAGAGATTAAATTCTGCCAAAATAAACAGTTCATACAATGGGTCATTTTAAACTTATTCAAGAGAATAAGGTAGACTCTAAATGTACAGATGTGGGAAGGTATATAAATAGTTGTAATTATAAATTACTTTTGTAAACAAAAAAATTTTGCATTAAATCCCTAAAATCAGTTATTTGTGTGTGCTGCAATATTTAACAGCTTTATATTTCTCATAATTGAGAAATGGTTCTAATCTCTGATCACAATCCAGAATTTCATTATAAAATTATCCTTGTGCTGAATTCAACTACTGATTGTTGACTTCTGAAATAATGTTTCAACTATTATTTTGATCTGAATAAATTGTAATTAATTTATTAGCCTTACACCTATAAGGCACATTCTTGAATAATACTCCATCAAGATTATTCAATTCCTTTATTAATTTTCTACAATGAGTAAACCATTTCTAATATTTCACAAATTCATTTTTAGTTACTAATCAACTTTTTCATTTAAACTCTACCAAGGATTTTATTAACCAGGTCTTTATACTTACCAAATTTTAAGTCACAGTTTATAGCACTATAGGGAATTTTTTTTTCCTGAAGTGAACCTGTGGTGATTCACCCCCTGTGGTGATTATATCAAATCAAAATTTTTCAGGTCCTATTTTGCAGATTTAAATTTTGTTCAGATGATTTGATTCGTCAGTGAATTTCTGTTCAAAACTAATTTCTACTACTTGTAGTTTTAATCAGTTTTACTACATACTGACCATTTTTATTAGTTGTGCTCGACAAACTGGGATAAAATAATGATCACCGTTATCTATTTCTTAGGTGATCTATGAATTTGCACTAGTATTAGAAGATTACCTTTAAAATAAAATAATACAAACTGGGATAAAATAATGATCACCGTTATCTATTTCTTAGGTGATCTATGAATTTGCACTAGTATTAGAAGATTACCTTTAAAATAAAATAAGGTCTTCACAAGGTCAAGTGGTTCTTTCTTTACATTTTAGAAGTTTTGAGGCTAGCCCTCTTACTCACATAAACCTATCAAATTAAGAGTCCCATAAATTAAAACAGAAAAACTGGAAGCAGTTGATAAAGAGTAGATTTATAAATACAAGCATTAGCATTAAAGAAGGAAAACTGTCTTTCCTCATTTTTTTGAATTTGAGCAGCATTAGTTCTATTTTAAGATGTTATTTTGTGAGGGAACCCTTTTGATTACTCTGTTATTTCTTTTTTTTTTTAATTATGGTATCACTGATATACACTTTTATGAAGGTTTCACAAGAAAAATTTTGGGGGAGTGTTGTGTATTTTCCTCAGTCCTTGTCCCCGCAGCAACAAAGAATTGAAGGGCAGAGACACAGTAGTGAAGTAGAGTAAAAGTTTTATTTAAAGTTACTTAAAGAGAGAAAAAGTACAGGCCACCTCAGCAAGGAAAGGCACCCTGGAAGGTTGAAAAGAGAGTTTAAAGTTAAAAGGTTACGCACTTAAAAGGGCGGGCGACCTCAGAGGACCGCCTACTCTGCTTCTTATTAAAATTACTTTATTTCTACCTTGGTCTTACTGTAGGAACATAAAAAGTATGCCAAAACCACTATGTTAGATCCTATACAGCTGGATAACTGTATGCTGTTTGATACAAGGATCAAGGTTTTATACCTTTAGGTCTTCTTCTGGCATTTACTTAAGAGTAGGTATTATTCAAGTGTGTATATGGGAACAAATAAATCAATATCCTTCTTTTAAGACCTTAGTATATGAACACTTCATCAATAAAATAGAATAACCCACGTAAGTAGTTACAGTACCCAAAACAATAGGTCTAAACAATAAAAGAAAAAAGATATATAAAGAAGTTCTCATATAAAAATTTTGGATCATTTTAAACAAGCAATCCATTGCATGAGACTATTTAGGTGCTCAACTGCAGGCTTTAAGCACAAGAATGACTAATTACCTGATGCCTCTACTTCATTCTGACTGCATGTCAAGTCATCTAAACACAGGTCAATAAGAAGGATCTGTCCAACATCAGTGCCCACAGCTGCCACACCAAAAAGCCATCTCAGACTTGGGTGTAAATGCTGTGTGCTTGCACTGGCTCCTCCATGATTAATTATAGGTTCAATAGCTGTTACCTAGAAAGCAGAATATATTATTTGCTTTTCTTACACAAAGTGAGAAAATACAATTAAAAACAACAAATTTTGAGGTTAAAGCAGGATAATAGACTTAAACATTTTCTTATATAGTTATAAATTTGCATTTGATACTTATTTGAGTAACATAATGAAGTCTTCAGATATAATAGGAATCACACCACTATTTTAATACATTAAAAACCCCACAGTTGGAATAATAATTGCTGTTTATTGGGAGCTTATTATACATCAGACATTGTGCTCACTGGCTCATTTAAGTCTCATGATATTGACACTGGACTTTGGTATTAGACTATATAAAATTCTATCTGTTTAAAGATGAAAACACTGAGGCCTAGAAAGTTTAGCTGATTTTCACAAGTCACACATAAGTGTAAAAACTCAAATCCACATTTTTCTCACTATAAATCTTAACCAGCTACTCTAAGACTAAATATAAATATACTCTTGTCATAAAAAAGAGTAAAAATAAACTCTAGAAAAATTTACTGTTCACTCTTTAAATGTCTGTACCTAATAGCCCATATTGTATACTTCGCTTTCCTTCTGTTTCCTATTAATTCACAAAAAATAAATAATGTGATATGAGAATTAAGTAGTTGGTGACTTCTACTATAATACTGTTGAAAGTCCTAGAAAAAAAATAGGAAATGTATTATCAATGGTTTATGCATTACATAAGATTGAAGTTTGTTTCAGTCTATAACATATTATTACAGACTAAAGCCTGGCTCTGTCTATATATTTCACTAGTATACAAAACATTCCAGTGTTTCCAGTTCTGAAAGCTGTAATTTCATGGATTACCTTCCTGTTCTAAATTATGGTAATAATGTCTATGAATATTAAAGAACATTCTCTTCAATTCCCTTAATGAGAGGTAAGAAAGTTGTCTCAGTTTGCATTCTTCACACAAATAGTGCTACCTTAATCTTAAAATAAGGCAGTTAAAAGCAAGCAAATTTAAGAGGAGATACTGTCCCCTAGCCAAAAACAACTAATTGACTGAACTTATTTGAAGGTATCTATCTACCAATCTTTTCCTTCTCCTATATTCCCTTTTCCAAGTCATACTGATCGTCCCTCAACTGAGCAACCAGGAAGAACTTACCTGACTCTTGTTCCTTAATTATTACTCTTATCCAATGATTAAGAAGTCCTGTCCATGTTATGTCCTGAATATATTTTTCAATGTGTCCCTTTCCTTCATTCAGTTCATCATTATTTATCATTATTTACCTGAATTACCCTAGTCCAAGGAGGTTTTTACACTAGAGTTCTGCTTTAATGATTTTACCACAGACTTTAGCAGGAGGCCCCTAATGGCAAGGCCATTCATAACCTTAATCCTAACCATTTCTTGCTCCTTCTTACTTCTCCTCTCCCTACCTATTCTAAGTAAGCCTAATTTCCCAAATGTCCATATACTATAACTCTTTACATATTGGTCTCTTTGCCCGAAATGTCCAACCTCTGAGTAGAAATTATCCAGGTGTTCTCCATGTTCCAAATGCTTGAATTTATCAAAGTACTTATTATATTTATGCTGTGATCTTATTATGTCTTCTCCCATAAGACTATAAGCTTTTGGACAGCATGGACCAAGTTCAATTCATCTATTTATCTCCGAAATCTAGCACATAGTTTGATTTACAGTAAGCACTCAATAAATTACTAAGTTAATTCTGTCATTACAATCATAACCACTGGCAAGAATACACAAGATACGACACTACAAAACTACTTCCAACCCCCACATTAGCCCACTGGGTCAATTTCCTCAACTGTAAAAATACACCATTTTGTCACTAAGCTCCCTTTTAACTTTAAAAAATTTGATTCTATGACTATATATAATACACACATATGTATTTTTTTGTAACTAAGTGTATACTTTTTTCCTCCATCATGTAGAGGAAGGATTCTGCTCTTTTATCATTTTATATTTCTGTATGTGTGTATTTGTGAGTGTATATATTTTCTCACCACGTATAGAAAAACAGTAAGTCTGCTGCTGAAACAACTTAAATGCAAAGTATTTTTATAATTACTACTGGGTAATGTCTGGCATATGGAAGGCATACATATATTAGAATTAATACACGGTGATTATGAATGAACTACTACTATTTAAATATACTATTGAAATCTTAAACAATGATGACCTATTTTCCATATTGCTTGAAGGCTAAAGTCTCAAATTAAGAGAAAAAAACAGAGAAAAGGAAAAAAGCCACAGTAATATCTTTATAAACTTTCCATGTCCTCATAAAATATAAGAACACTACATATAATCACTATTTTTACTTTGTAATTTTCTAACCAAGAATAAGTTATATTTTAGATTTAAATTGCTTTGGTAATACATCTTTAGTCTCTTTTTTTATTTTGAACTTTTTAATGAAAAATAATACTTATGTAAAAGTAATCTAATTACAAATGTGTAACTCACTAAATCTTCACAAAGTGAACACACCTGTATAACCAGTAGGGGTTCAGTTTTGAAAGCAGAATGTTCATATCTTAAACAGTACTTACCCTTCCAGGAAGAACAACTGCTTTAACCACTCTTGATATACTAATGTCATAAAGGCAGAGAACACTCCCGTCCGCTTCTTCCAAGCCGATTAACAATCCAGCTCTCTTCTGCCAAGAGAATTCTTTCACAGCTAGGACTATAGGAGGCTGTTCATTCACTTCACTGAACCTATATGCAGACAACCGCTCTCCTGTTAGAGAGTTTACTACCTCAAGTTGTGGACCACAGGCTAAGCAAGCAAGTCCGTTTTTTCCTAGAAGAAAAAAACAAAATGGTGCTTATTTAATATTGCATAATACAACAAAACTAAACAGCAGTCAGATCTTTTACACATATAATACAGTTCATTATGGAAAACTTTACAGGTTATCTCCAAATTGAAATCCAAGCATTTATAGATCACGGTGGTCCATAAATCAGTAAGACAAACTGACCCACTACCGAATAATAAACCATCACAGTAAAGCACCATGCTATGTGCTTACATTATCTTATTTATTCCTCACCACATCTCAATACAGAGATAAGGCAATTAAACTTTCACACTTTTAAGTAATTTACACAAAGCTACATGGCTACAAATACCAGAGCCAAAAGTGGATCCCAAGTCTGTCTAACTCTAAAGGTATAGTATAATAAAAGTTAACTAGGTGCTACAGGAGCTATAAAATACAACACATGATTCTGCCCCTAAGGAGCTCAAAATCTAAGAAAACATAACACCCATAATAACAAGGAAATATTAAAAGCTCTTATTGGCCCCTTACTAGTCACGTTCGGATTTTATTTTGCAATCAATGTAAACTAACTAGAGGGTTTTAAGCAGGACAGTGACAATCTGATTTATGTTTTAAAATGTTACTCAGCTTCTTGGACAACAAGGAGAAGCCAGAGTAGAAATGCAGAGAGATACCCTATGCTTGGCTGGGGGCTATGAATAGAAGGTAGTGGATTAACTAGAGATTTGTCTTACACAAAATTAAAGTATTTGCTTGCTAATGAGTAAGTACTGGGAGGTGAGTAAAACAGAAGAATCAAGAACAGATCCTGTATTGAGCAGCCAGATGAATATTAAATTTATGATGTGTATTATGCATCTGAGTAGATAGCTGGATATACTAGATCATAGCTGAAGGAGGCAGTACAGTTGAAGGAAATTGCACAGCACACTGGGGATCCAGAATGTGTGGGTTCAAAATTCACTTCTGTGGTCTGTGTAACTGGGATCAAGTTACTTACCCTATTTGATTCTCCGCTACACAGGACAGTACCTACTTAGGAAAGTCTTATACTTACCTTGATGAAAAGTTGTTACAGAGCCTGACATATACTAAGTGCTATGACTACTTTTAATACTGAAGAGAACAGCACCTTAAATAGCCCAGTAACTGCTCTGTGTGTTTTACTGCCTCCTGCTGGGAAGGTCGTCTTTGAAATTCACTCTTAGAAAAATTTTCTGCAGTACCTTTCACTAGACTGAATGAAACCCTCAATCTAATGACTCCTTTGGCATGGCTTTCTGCTGTATATATAAGCCATATATTAAGATCCTGTTTGGATTAATTTAATTAAGAAATAAGACTTTCTAAATGTTTTGTATCACCTAGTATCCTACAATCAGATTTTTCTACTCCAAGACTGTTTAGGTCTAAATCCATTCTCACCACCAGTGAAACTCACTTAAAAAAAAAAAAAATTGGCCCCTTACTAGTCACGTTCGGATTTTATTTTGCAATCAATGTAAACTAACTAGAGGGTTTTAAGCAGGACAGTGACAATCTGATTTATGTTTTAAAATGTTACTCAGCTTCTTGGACAACAAGGAGAAGCCAGAGTAGAAATGCAGAGAGATACCCTATGCTTGGCTGGGGGCTATGAATAGAAGGTAGTGGATTAACTAGAGATTTGTCTTACACAAAATTAAAGTATTTGCTTGCTAATGAGTAAGTACTGGGAGGTGAGTAAAACAGAAGAATCAAGAACAGATCCTGTATTGAGCAGCCAGATGAATATTAAATTTATGATGTGTATTATGCATCTGAGTAGATAGCTGGATATACTAGATCATAGCTGAAGGAGGCAGTACAGTTGAAGGAAATTGCACAGCACACTGGGGATCCAGAATGTGTGGGTTCAAAATTCACTTCTGTGGTCTGTGTAACTGGGATCAAGTTACTTACCCTATTTGATTCTCCGCTACACAGGACAGTACCTACTTAGGAAAGTCTTATACTTACCTTGATGAAAAGTTGTTACAGAGCCTGACATATACTAAGTGCTATGACTACTTTTAATACTGAAGAGAACAGCACCTTAAATAGCCCAGTAACTGCTCTGTGTGTTTTACTGCCTCCTGCTGGGAAGGTCGTCTTTGAAATTCACTCTTAGAAAAATTTTCTGCAGTACCTTTCACTAGACTGAATGAAACCCTCAATCTAATGACTCCTTTGGCATGGCTTTCTGCTGTATATATAAGCCATATATTAAGATCCTGTTTGGATTAATTTAATTAAGAAATAAGACTTTCTAAATGTTTTGTATCACCTAGTATCCTACAATCAGATTTTTCTACTCCAAGACTGTTTAGGTCTAAATCCATTCTCACCACCAGTGAAACTCACTTAAAAAAAAAAAAAAACCCAGCTGTCTATTATTTCCAATTTCTAAATATAGATACCCAACACTAAAAGATATGTGTGTATTTTTAATAAGGAAAAATGACCTATAATCCCCACCCAATTCACCGAAAATGTGTTTCTAGAATATGCAGGTGTTACTACATTAATAATTACAAATGTTATATATCTTATTTAAGACCACACTAATGAAGTTTCTGCTTTTCTTTCCATATTAAAGAAATTGCAAATTAATGCTTATTATTATTTATCTTACAAATCAATCAAATTAGTGTATCTTCAGCAACATTACCTGCAGCAAGTTTTCCACGAAGCACAGAGTCTAGTGTTATTTGGTCTTCTCCAAGGGCTTGAATAGTCACTTCTGGGAAGTGCAGAAGACTACTAGTCACTTGTGCTGTTAAGTCTTGCATACTTCCACTGCAAATATTTTTTAAAGATAATATTATTTTGGTATAGTCGTACTGTAATACATTTGATTATCTCTAGCCAGAATAAAAAAGAAAAAGTCACCACACAAAAGTAAACAAACTAAAGCCAAAATCTGATTATAAAATACATAGTATGTGCTTCTGGGTCTGAGGTTCTCTGCTAAGAAAATGTCTCCTAAACGGCCTTAGGAGAGTACAGATTCATTAAGTAAGATGTCCGAAGGATATAATGATTTCCTAGATTCTTTGGAACTGGTTCAGTACAATTAATCTTACTGCCTACCTATTCTCCAAGGATACTTTACATACAAACAGGAAAAACTGATTTATTTTAGAAAAATGACCACTATGGTACAAGGGGACAGGATCATGAAAAATGTCCAAGCCCATAATAACCTCAATAATTGAGCTTGACATGATTTTTCAAGTGGACAGAAAAACCTGAGGGTTAGCTACCAAATTCGGTTCTGGTGACCCTGATTTTGTTTTAAGACTCTAAGGTCCAGAGAGTCAGAAGATAAAACTTGGGGCTAACAAAACCAATGCAAGCTAAGAAGAGATTCTACCCACCTCCACATGCCTCACAACACCCCATAAACTTAACAGGGCTCTATCGTCAGTGTAAAGGTGAGTGAGAGAAACATCTACTGTGCAGGACAAGGAGCAATGAAGCCATCCATTTTGACCATTACTCTCTCTCTCATAAAATTCTCTACTCAATAAGGAAAATTTCTTGTCACACAAATTAGTGGCCAGAATTCAAACTATATTATCTGAAAATACCAGGAAGAATTTACTACAAAGTATTCTAAGGCTGGTAATGCTATAAGCATCCCACAGAAACCACCAAATACTCTCTAGAATCTCAAAGTTCCAGAATCTTTAGAGTTCTCAAAGATGATACTCCAAAAAAATGAGCTCAGTCAAAATAACAAAACTAAAAAAAAAATACAGGTGACCTTAGAACAATGTGGGGGCTATGGGTGCCAACCGCCCATAAAGTAAAAAAAAAAAAAACATGTAATTTTTAACTTCCCCCAAACTTAACTAATAGCCTATTATTGACCAGAAGACTTAACCAGTAACATAGTCAATGAACATATTTTGTATATGACATTATATACTACATTCTTAAACTAGAGAAAAATCATAGATCTCCAAAAAAATTTCCAATGTATTTATTGAAAAGATCTGCATGAGTGGACCCACACAGTTTAAATCTATGTTGTTCAAGAGCCAACTATAATAGAACTTCTAGAATGAAAAATGAAGTTAAATTTAGAACTCAAGGTGGGAGACTCAATGGAGCATGAGAATGTTGCAGCTACATGCAACAATACAGATAAACATCAGAATACAGTATTTAAAAAGACTGCAAAATAAATAAAATACTGTTTAGAATACAAACATATGTGGCAAAACTGGATAAAACAAAAATAAATACAAAATCGCCAGTAGTAGTTATCTTTGAGAGGTGAGAATCAGGACTGGTTAGGGAGGAATACAGAAGGGACTCCAAAGTAATGGTAATGTTTTTTTTCTAAAACTTGGGTGGTGAGTATATAGGTATTCATTGCCATCATGATTCTTCATATCATACAAATATTCTTTTGCACCCACGCAATAAATTCTTTTGTACCTACTTGGTAGTCAACAAAAACTCAGAAAGATAAGTAAAACAGTATAGTAGAAAGAGGAGAGCTCAAAAACTTATCCAGAATGAAGCACAAAAAGACTTAATGTAAGTAGTTAGATAAGTAGTTACAAGTTACAGACAACAGAGGTCTAACATGTTCCCCCCAAATATATCCCCCCCAAAATATAACACTAAAGAAAGGAAGATGCAATACTCTAAAAGATAATCCCAAGACTTACAGAGACACACCAATTCTCTGCAATCAGGAAGCCCAATGAATCTGATGTAGAATAAAAAGAAATGACTTTCAACAACAGTGGAAGTCAGAAGTCTTCAAAATTCTAAGCCAAAACAGCTGTCAACACATAATTACATATTAATGAATGGAATCATCCTTAAGAATGAGTATGAAACACATTTTCTGACAAAAACTAAATTTACTACTAAGAGACACTCCCTTAAAGATAACTCTAAAGGATTATAGGTAGAAGGCTTCAGATAGAATAGTGACCAAAGTCTGAGATGCAAAAGATCTCCAGAGGCCAAGGAATGAATCATTGGGAAAGCAAAGGAGAAACAATCCCCAGAGCTTACACAGGGCCAGAAATAGCTCCAGAGTAGAAAAACCTCGTAACACATGGGGTGCTGAAAGGTATATGTATGTCAGAAATATAGATTGCTTTAGTAGTGGGGAGAAAAATGAGCCCCAGTAAAGGCTGCTCTGGTCCTGTCTAAAAAAGCAAGGCTTAAAAGAGTAAAACTGTTTCCAAGTAACTCAGTTGCATTGCAAGAAAAAGCTCAAGAATATGTAAAGGAATGCAAAACATGCAGTATTCAAGAAATTAAAACTCACAATGTCTGACATTCAGTTAAAATTGTCAGGCATGCAAAGAAGCAGGAAAACGACTCATAAGGAAAAAAACCCAACCAACAGAAACAGAAATGACACAAAAGTTAAAATTACTAGATGAGACATGAAATTGGCTATTGTAACTATAATCCTTATGTCCAAGAAGAGGAAAGAGAGCATGTACATATTAAGGAAAGACTTGAAAGACAAAAAAAAACAACATCAAACTTCTAGAAATGAGAAATACATTGGAAGACATTAATAGATTAGACACAGAAAGTATTAGTGAATGTAAACCCCCACAATAAAAACTCTCTAAAATCAAACATAGAAAAAAAGCTGGATGGAGCAGGGAACATCGGTGAGCTATGGTTCAATCTCAAGTGCCCTAAAGCGTGTAATAGGAATCTCCAAAAGGAGGACAGAAATACTTGAAAAACTAATTGCCAAATTTTTCCCAATTCAATGAAAACTATAAACCCACAAATTCAAAAAGTCAGTAAGCCTCAAGCATAAGAAACATGGAAAAATTTCACCATAATACATCACAATCAAGGGACAAAGGGAAAATTTTTAAAGGAGCACACTGCTCAGAATGACAAATGTGAAGACAGACTTGTTGTGAAAACAGCGCAAGTCAGAAAACAGTGGAACAACATTTTAAGTTCTGAAAGAAAAAAAAAGCTATCAACCTAGAATTCTACACCCAGTGAAAATATATTATAAAAACCAAAGACAAAATTAAGACCTTTCGGACATACAAGAGCGGAAGAGACAATTGCCAGCAATCTGCACTACAACGAACATTAACGGAATTCCATCAGGCAGAAGGGAATGATACCAGATGGAAATCTGGACCTACACAAGAGAATATAAGCAACGAAAAATGATAAATACAGAACTTTTTCCTTATTTTTATTCTCTTTAAAAGACAATTGACTATTCAGAGCAAAAATGAGAGCAATATATTGAAGAGTTCATAAAATATTTACAAATGAAACATGAGACAAATGAAATAATGGCACAAAGGCCTAGAGAAGAGAAATGGAGGCATACTGTTATAAAATTCTTATACTATACATTAAATACTATAATACTGAAGGTGGCCTAAAAACTTAAATATACACTATGAATCTTAAAACAACCACTAAACACACACATAAATATATTTAATAAGCCAATGAAAGATAAAATATCATCATAAAAAAGTTAATCCTATCAAATAGCCAAAGCAACCCTGAGAAGGAAGAATAAAGCATGGGGAATTACGCTCCCCAACTTCAAGCTCTACTACAAAGCCACAGTAATCAAGACAATTTGGTACTGGCACAAGAACAGACTAGAGAGCCCTGATATAAACCCAACCATATATGGTCAATTAATATATGATAAAGGAGCCATGGACATACAATGAGGAAATGACAGCCTCTTCAATAGCTGGTGTTGGCAAAACTGGACAGCTACATGCAAGAGAATGAAACTGGATTATTGTTTAACACCATACACAAAAGTAAACTCAAAATGGATTAAAGACTTGAAAGTAAGTCATGAAACCATAAAACTCTCAGAAGACAACATAGGCAAACATCTCCTGAATATAAGCATGAGCAACTTCTTCCTGAA